ACGTGTCGAGATGGTGGTACAGGGCCAACAGGTGCGTAAGCATCACTGCTCGTTTTGGTGGTTTGGTTGGTAATAGGGCGTCCATCCTCGCCGAAGCCCGTAACATTATGGTTACTCTAGCGGACACGACGTGAGGATACGGTCTGTCGTGTAGGAGATGCCATGCCTGTATCGCGAACAAGTAGTTCTTTAACGTGGTCGATTGCACTTCTTCTCCGGTGGCCTCGAATTCCGTCCTTCCTGCCCACATGCAGAAACCATAGATGTCGTTAGGGCTCGCTGGTAAGAGGAACTCGTCTTGTGAAAGGGTTTTCATGTATTTCAAGAACTTCTTGATCGCCGCGTTGTAGCTTAGCAAGGTGCTCGTTTTCCAGCCATTAAGCAGATGCATCTTCAGGTCAGAGGGTTCCCTATCCTGGTGGCCTGAAAGAAAAGCCGGAATTTTAGACAACTCGGTCATGTCTGGAGGTGTGTGTGGAATCATCACAGGCATCAGGACATGTCGCAGGCATCCTGTTCAGATCATAAGATACTCACTTCGGTTTCACCGGTGCGACTGCTAAGTGAAGTACCAGATCGATTGAATATAGCGAGTTGGCTATAAAGAAGATGAAAAGGTATAACAGATTGAAATGAGAGAGATGTAACAAAAGAAAGGGTTCGGGGGTTGTTACCTGATACGAACTCCAAAGATTCGACCACCAGGTATAGGTGGATTGTGTTACTCGATCAAGGCATTAGGTCAAATTATTAAATTAATTACCAGTCATCAGAGAGGTAAACAACCGTAACAACAGATACAAACTATTATATGGGTTCAGATACAATTGGTTTAACAAACACCGCATTCATCATAACCTTCACCAGGTCATGAGGAAGGTCAATCAGAATTCTATCACCCTCATCATGGCCGAGTGTTATACCCCTTGACAATTCATCAGCAATATTATCATCTGTCGTAACTCTCATGGGGTGAATGTTCAAATCATAGGAAATTATTGTACTTTGGATGACCTTCCATTCGTTATTGACTTCGAAGTCTCTTGATTTTCTATTTCGTACCACTGCTTCTGATGTTGTATTGTCAGTCCATACGATCAAGTTTTGACCGCTCAATACGTTCATTCTTAAGAGCATCAAAAGACCAATACGAATTGCTACGGTTTCTAACCAAGCAATTCCCCTTTTGGAACTTCCACTTTCTTCCCAACCTGGTAATAACGAAAGTTGACTCCATTTTGAACCTATTAATACACCGATGCCGAAAGATGTTGAGGCGTCACCGACCCAACCAATTTCCTTCGGTTTATCCACTGATATAAGCCTCATATTCTTAAAGGTATTATTGATGTCATGATACCGTACGAGGCTCCTGCACCTCTCAGAGCCTATCAACGGGACAAACGTTCTGAGTATTGATGTTCTAACGGCAAGTGAGATGGTCATGAGGAGCGCGAAAAGCCTCGTTCGTCTTACCCAATATAAGTCCGGATTGCTTTTCTGTGATGCCTCACAATCGTACCGTTTGCAAGTACCACCTCTTGGATGATAATATTGTCCAAGGTCAAGCCCCACATCCGACTCGTGAGACCGAAGCTGGAAATCAAGCAACGCGAGGACAAATAGTCAGCTCACGACATACTTCACTTGCTTTTTGGTTAATGGTTGACTTACCCCCCAAATGCCGCGTGGCCCCCAATACCAAGGTACCCACACTCACCGTGCGGTATCGCCCTCCCGCCTTGAGAATGCAACCCTATAGCCAAATCACCTAGTCTGATTCCGCTTCCAATAACAGCTTGTCCTGAAGACTGATCGACAGAGACTGTCTTGAGCCGCGAGAGATCGACAACTAAGGCGCCATGGGCCCCTCCTAAGCCATAAGAGCCGTATGAATGTCCGCCGGAGCGAGGTGAGACTGCATGAAGAAAGCGAGAGGTTAGTTCGGGCGACGTTGAAGGGATTCCTGAGAATCCGAAATGATACGAGCTCACCGGAAAGCTTTTCATCGACAGCTACTTTAACAGATTCTGAGACAGCTTCAGTGCTATCGGGGTAGACGATGGCAGCTGGGATATAAGTTAGACGCTGGTTGAATGGTGTAGCGAGTTTTTCGTAAGATAAATCTCCTGGAAAGACAGCGTCGATTCCCAACTTGCAGAATTTGGCTCGCAAAGAAGCAGTATCTGCTTTAACAGAACACAAGACGCTCAAAGCGCAACAGAAGGTAAATAACGAGTTGAATATCATTTTAGTGTTTTTTGGATGCGGTGAGTGAAGGATGTGGCAGCACTAGTGGGATAACGATCACAAGGCAATCTACAGCGAAAGCGAAAAAGTGACTGCTTTATATCTTCAACCTGCACCCTCAATTCCGGTCAACAGAGCCAGCGGTGATGAATTTCTCAAAGAGAGGAGCTGGTCCATCCCTGATCAGACGTCTTACGATATCATTTCAACAGATCGTTACGATACGCTCCAACCTATAGGGCTTATTGGGTACCGTAGTGAAAGTTTGAATTGTCAGGTCAGCCAATACGTGGTTGGGTATTTATGTAAGTCAATCATTCATCGGCTTACTTCTATCACTAGCTTGATCCGTATGATTGCATCTACGGTGATCAATGGTCAGATCATTACGAGCGAACCATGACAGCGAACCATAACATGTCGCCAAATGATACGAAAAGCTGACCGCTGAGCATCTTTTGATAGGTGCTGTACAGTTTCTCAAGCTGACCTGCCCAACTCGCGTCATCCACTCTGTGGACGCTTACCAGGTTTTTAATGTGCCCTGCGTGAAAGCTGATTCCCAATCAATTAACACAAAACTTTTGAGAGAGAATGTGATAGTTTCCTCCACTCCCAGACAAACCACGTGCTTGAATCGAAATCTCAAATCACCTCAATGAGCGAGAACAACTAATCAATCCTGACATTCTACATCTTTTCACGATCAATTCGTAGCAGTCTCTGTAAGATAATTCTGCTTATCATAGGCTTCCGACAGCCTGTTTTGATAGAAGCGATGATGATGGGAGGATGTGAAAGCAAAAACTTGAATCTGATCAAAAGTGTCTAAAGTTGAAAACGATAAATTGTCAAGGTAGTCATGAAGCTTAGCTTAACACAAGCCACTCTGCGCGGACGTGACAGACTTTAGCTCGTTTTCAAAATAATAAAAAATTTGTGGCTTTTTAGGGCTTTTGAACAGGGGATCTCAGGGGATTCATGGGACTCAACTAGCTGTCCAAATCAACTGAATTGGAAGTGTCACTTTTCCGGCTCGCACTTCTCCCAATCCCTATTTTTCGTCAAGGCTGAGCATGCTACCGCACCCGACTCTCTGGTTTTTCTTTTGACTGGAACCAACTTCGACAAGCAGCACAACAAAGTATGAGCGAATTTTTCAATTCGGTTTGGACTTTGAAGTGCCACGTAGGTTTTTGACCTTTTTTTCAAAAAAAAGACAGTTGATCCCTGATCAGCTGATTCGAAATTACCTAATCAAATCCATCATATGTCATTTAACCGGTTATATCGGCCACAGATAACCATTCCAATGATATCACAACCCATAACTTCCATCACCTCCTATGATAATGACCTTACAAGAAAATCAAAATATTAGTCCACCAGTCTCGGTCCGATGTGAATGGACCTTCGATCAGGAAAAAACGATGGTAGAGATGCTTGACCACTCTCAAAGCGCCAACAAGCATCACAATGGCTTTATTGGGATCATTTGGAATATCATTGCGACCACTTTGAAAGGGACCGAAGGCTCGAGTAAAGTCAAAACCAGTGATATGTGTCACTCACATTGGAATGTAGTAAGTTCTGATTCTTGGATCAGATCTATTGTTGACTGATAGCTTGATTTATATTGTCTTTTTGTCAAGTTGTCTAGACGGTACAAGGATGCGAAGCAATTGGTGGATGAGAATGGCGCCAGTTGGAACAATGAGACGAATATGATCGAGCTTTCAGGGGAAAGATGGACTCAAATAATCACCATTCCTGTAAGCTGAGCTTGTTTCGTTTCTGTTCTCGTGTTACTTCTGTTCTTGACTTTGATTTTAGACCAGTACCAACAAGCGCTTGGGATGGTTTCGAGGGAAGTCATTCCCGCTGTACGACGCCGTTGGTGCCGTTGTTGAAGCAACGCCAATTCACATTCCCTTTGCTCCGGGTGATCGTCTTGCGAGGTACTTGTTAGAGCACGAGCTATCAAGCAAATCCCCAAGTGAACATTCGATCAGTTACTCGTCCGACGAAAGCGATCAAGAGGTGATACAAGTAAAGCTTGAATCAGACTCGCCCCACTCTTTATCAACGAGCTCGATGGCCGATTCTTCAATCTCAAGCAACAAATCCGTGAAGAAAAGAAAAGTTACAGAAGATGAATCAGCCCCAAATGACGATGATCGAGAAAGATCAAACTCAATCGTCTCATCTGTGCGATCATCAGGACCAGCAAGAAACGAGCCTCCCAAGTCAACTGCGCAACTATTCATTGATTCAATGAACTCTATGCAAGACAAATTCATGAATCAAATCAAAGCCAAACAGACTGCATCAACATCAGGAAATGTTACCAGATCCTTAGATTATTTAGTATTGGCTGTTCGCGTGATACGGAAAATGAAGAATATAGATAAGGGTTTTTTTGTTCAAAGCATTAGATTTGTTCAAGACCAGCCTCAAACTGCTAAGATATTTGTCATTCTTGAAAGCGAAGAATTGAGAATTGGATGGCTGAAGTATCAGTTTGAAAAACTTTGGTGAGCGTTTCTCGATAATATCTTGTTTTTCAAACTTTAATACTGATCTTCATATGGACTCTATGCGTTTAGATTTTATTTACCTTTTTTACTGTAAATGTTACGAACATCAAAAGTACATCTTTGATGCAACTGTAAGTGATATATAGTCGACCGCTTCACATTTTCAATAGTAGACTTTACCTGTACAATGTTATGAATGCAATCTATTTTCTTATATCTTCTCTCACCTCTTTAAACCGATTCTAATGACACAATCATTGATGAAGTTTGACATGAAAATGCATCGTGTTATGTTCTTGCAAATGGACCGTGTCTGATACATTGTTGCTTCATGCCTTGCCGAGTCTTGGTATTGTATCTCTAATAGTCATTTCATTGTACCTTCTTTTAGAATAGCTTTGCATAATGTATTGCTATATCTCTCTTCATCATTGACAATTGCTCAAGGTGTGGGTTAGTAATAGACATTGACTGGTAAGCAAAGATATCCAATTGCTCGTCCCTGGTATCAACACACAAGTGCGCCACAGGAGTTCCGTCATAAGTATAGTCTGCTCCTCCCCGCTCGACCAAATACCGCTCCAAAATCGAAGATACTGTTGAAATCGTGAGATTTTCAATCTCAGACGTTTGATGAGAGTAAAAACTATCTCGCTTTCTTCTTACCCCGTACGTATCTTACTCATGCGTCTATCAGCAGGCACACATCATGAAAAGCGGGAAGCGAAAAGTGAAGTCGGATGATCAGGGATCCATCTCTGAACATGGGGTCTCCCTCACGTATAGACGTTAGAGCTCCAGGGAGGAGGCGTTGTGTCTTTGCTTGTGGTTTAGAATTAAGGGGGCTCAAGTCAAAATTTTTGCGGCCTTTTCTTGAAAAATTGGGGAAAGCCTTTTACGGTACCGTGCTGTAAAAACTTTTCCCAATTCGTAAAAAAGGGACGTAAAAATTTCTTTCGGATCTCCTTCTGAGCAGCAGATTTACACAAATTTGCGTAAATTTGCTGCTCGAAAAAATTTGGGATGTTGTATAACTTTTCCCAATTGCATAAAATTTTGCGTAGATTTTATGCAATTGGGAAAAGTTTTTTACGATAAAAGTAGTAAAATATTTTGACTTGAGCCCCCCTATTATGCATTATGATTTTTGCGCGCTTCAAAGAACGTATTACCTGGAACGTATGGTGAGAACCCTGTAGCCGTAGGTTGAGTGGGTCAAGCAGAAGACCTGTTCACTCTGATCATACGCTGGTGGACGATGAAACATCTCCTCATCTTCAAGTCCTCATCTTCAAGGACACACTTGGGGCATGAGAACATAGCGAATCAGCACGAAGTTCATAGTAATATCGTAGCCGGATGTGGGATCAAAGTGAGCCATTGAATTTTACCGTGTCGGGCGGCCTACACAACTTCACACAACTCATCCAGTTATACGGATGAAGTCAACTATCTTGGGCTTCAACGCTGCTAGCTCGTTGCCATGATAGATATGAAGGATCTATAAGACACAACTTGTGGCCGTCTGCTTGCACATTAGCAACTTGCGACTTCAAACACCTTCTTTGTGGTCTTGAACACTCAAAGGTCATGCTAAGCTCGCTATTTACCGTCTCTTGCGCTTTGAGCCTTTTGTGTTCTGTTAGAGCAAATACTGCTTCTTTGCGAGCCAAATTCTCAAAGCTGGGAATCGACGCTGTCTTTCCAGGGGATTCATCTTTCGAAAAGTTCGCCGCACCTTTCAACAAACGCCTGTCTTATATCCCAGCTGCCATCGTCTTCCCCAACCATACAGAAGCTGTTTCGAATTGTGTTAAAGTCGCTGTTGAAGAAAAGCTTCCCGGTGAGCTCATATTGTCAAGCACGTTGACAAACCACTCCGCCGGGACTCAAACTGTTCTCTTCATTGTGGTCACAGTCTCAACTCGCTCCGGTGGACATTTGTATGCTGCTTATGGCTTAGGAGGAGGAAATGGAGCCTTGGTTGTCGATGTCTCGAGACTCAAGACAATCTTTGTCCATCAGTCAACTGGTCAAGCTGTTATTGGAACTGGGAATCGATTAGGTGACATGGCTATTGGATTATATTCTCAAGGTGGGCGCGCAATCCCCCATGGGACGTGTCCGTATGTTGGTATTGGGGGCCACGCGGCATTTGGGGGGTAAGTCGACCGGGAACCAAAGGGAAGTGAAGTACATGGTGAGCTGACTATATCGTCTCGTGTTCCCTGATCTTCAGCTTTGGTACCACAAGTCGGATGTGGGGTTTGACCTTGGACAATATCATCGGTCACGAAGTGGTACTCGCAAACGGTACGATTGTCCAGGCATCGCAAGATAGCAATCCAGACCTCTTCTGGGTAAGTGGATTGAGGCTCTTTCTGCCATTCCACTCCCCGATCGAAACTTAACCTTCAGGTGATTTGGCATCTCGGTAGGCATTGAGAGGCGCTGGGGCATCTTATGGTATCATGACCTCCATCAAGTTTCAAACTCATTCAGCTCCCAGTCAAGCTACAAATTTTCACATCAAATGGTATCTCAGCCAAAATGAATTGGCAAACGCGCTACTCAAATTTCAAGTCTTTTGTCGGTCCAACCTACCCTCAGAGCTTGCAATAGATGCTAATTTGAAAAAAGCCCCCAAATCTGGACTTCTGGTCTTTTCTCTGGTTGGAACCTGGAACGGGGAAGAGTCGAAGTTTGCGGCAGTAATTCAGCCGCTCTTGGACGGCATGGTAAGTTTTAGGTCTACATGACATGAAATCATCCCTTAACATTTCATTGCCTCGGGAACCCCTAGCCAGCACCAATTGAGAGTTTAGTGAAGAGAAATGATTGGCTTGACAGCTTGCAAACTTCGGCCCGCTCGGACAATCTTTCAACGTCAGGTCAGCCTCTTTTTCACAATGCTGAGCACAAGGTAGGGTGTCTAGATGATGAATTTCACCCTTTTTCTTCTCCACAGGTGTAGATCTTTCAGCTGAACATGATACTTTCTACGCAAAGTCTCTAACAACTCCACAATCAACACCTATGTCGAATTCTTCCATTCAAGCTTTCACTGAATATCTTGCATCAGAAGGATTGAAAACGGATACAGTACGCAATGGACTCACTGTATATTCTATCTTAAATTACTCATTTGTTATTATTTGTATCAAACAGAACTGGTTTGTCCAGTTTGAGCTGTACGGTGGTCAGAATTCAGCTATCACTTCTGTAGCAAAGGACGCAACAGCATTTGCTCAACGATCCATCTTATTCACTATTCAAGTGAGCCATCCTTGATACCGCTGTTGCGTCATTTAAGTTGACCTATCCTTTTGCGCCTAGTTCTACACCTCATCCAGCAACTATTCACCACCATTCCCAGATGCAGGATTGACCTTCTTAGACCAAATGGTTGCTGCCATTGTCAACAATGGCCCTTCTGGATGGGAATATGGGTCAGCACTTCATAGCAATGGCAGCTGTACCCTCAATAATGGAGCTTAATTCTTGACATCTTTGAGTGTTTAGCGCCTATTCCAACTACGTTGATGCCCGCTTATCTTCAAATGAGTGGAAGAATCTTTATTACAACACGCAGTTGAGTATGGCTTGTTGCATCTTGGTGTCCGCACTTGCTGAAAAATTTGAATTGTTATCACAGTTATCAGCGTTTGACACAAACCAAAGTTGCCTATGACCCTCAGAACATATTTTCATATCCTCAAAGTATTGGAGAGTAGGTTCTTGGCTTTCATATATATCATTTATTTTGATAATCACTTTCTTTGCAAAATTTGTGGACAGCTCAACCAAACAAAAAACATTGCAATAAAGAGAGAGAGTTCTCCGAATCAAAGATAACCAAGCACTGTCACTCAACTTTCCCGGTTCTCTCCAATGGACAGTGCAGCTGCAATGATATCAGTGAAATCTTAGTCATATTGGCCCTTCTGTGGGATTTGAGACTTTCTGTGAGCCTATCAAATTTTGGTGCCTTACATATGAAAGTTGTTGATGGAAAGCAATGGTCTGATAAGTATGAGTAACACAAATCCTCTACTGGAGCACCTGTGTACTGAAGATAGAGTGGGGTTGCTGTGCCTCGATATCAATGATTGTGGACAGGAGTCTGGTGTTGGAATAATATCTAAAAGTTGGTTTAAAAATCATTGAGAAGCGGTATGGTTGCTTGGATAATTTGAGCTCAACTCGCAATGAGAGGTGTTTGGCTAGAATTGGGACATAGAGCCCTAATTGGAATGTAGTGTATAACAACATAGTAGAACAGTTTTGTAAATACATATGCAATTGCTTGAGAATTAATAAAAAGGTTTGATATGGTGCGGATAACAGTAATACAAAAGAGGGAGAGGAGGGTGGGACAAAAAATGTATATGAATAAATAGTGTGATTATATAAAAAGGAGATGTCAAAAAATTCTGAGTATACATGAGCCATGATCAAACCTCACCCAGGACCCTGGAATGCGCCTACAGAGGGTAGTGACGTAAATTCCGACCTTTTTGTAACGGATTTGTAGGGTACATCATCACACATTTCTGTTGCTACAGGAGCGCAGAAGAATCGCAAGAAGCAGAGCTTTCATATGCACTAACTTTTAACCCTATAGCACCAATACTTCCCGAGATATTCAAGTGTAAAGCCCAAAAAAAGGCCAAAAATCAAAGGTCGGAATTGGGCCTCGGGGGCCTAAAAAATTTTTGCGCCTTTGCGATTTACGCCGCAGTGAGCCAAGCTACAGGGGTCAGGACAAGCTCATCTGATAGCCCTATTCCATGCGCATCTTTTGCAGTGCTTGGGATTGTGTTAGAATGAGTGGTGTGTAGTGTAGAGCCCAAAAACTGAAAATCGGGCTTCGTCACTACCCTCTGTAGGCGCATTCCAGGGTCCTCCTCACCCGGTACACCCAGTTGAGTTTTTGGCTGGGAGGTGTCAATAAATGTCAACTCAATACACAAAGTTAGTGCCGGAAAAGCAACTGGGTGTACCAGGTTTTTTGGCAACCAGGTTAGGTTTGAACATGGCTATTCAAATAGAATTATTTGACACCTTGGAAGATGAACAAAAAAGTGGGAAGAACCAGAGTTTGTGATCATCCACTTGATTATATATAATGAGCATTTCTGAGGAAAAAGAGTGTCCTCATTTAAAAAGGTAATGAGGGATTAGAAAGGTAAACAGCACAGGAGTGCAAACACGTGTGACACACCAGGGTGGTTTAAACATGATCCCAGAGTCCTCAAAATGAGTTATAAGGACTGCTTGCAACCTTGGAACTATAACAGTTCTCCAAACTTAAACCACATCTGACCTTAAGTATCTGGGCTAAAACAGTGCAATCAGGGCAAGGTCTGTAAAAGAATAATGCCTTCCGCTGTTTGGTCTTTTCCACTAGCAACCAGGTCCATTTGGAAAAAAAAGTGGGAAACACTTCTGCTTAGATTTCTTGGCATTCCACATGCTCAGAGACCTCAAAACCAGACATGCCTTTCACCAAAAAAATGATACAAAAGTGTTTTTATCCATCCCTCCATTGTCACTTCACTTCCAATCAACTGTGCCACTCATCAGTTTCTCTTCCTTGACTCGTTTCCTAGCCCTATACACCCCTTTCTTGACTCATTTTATCACCTTATTCACTGGTTTTATTGAGTTTCTCTAACCTTTCTCTTCCTTACTCTCATCAATTACTTGTTCAGCTAAGATGGCAATTCAAACCTCACCAACATACAAGGTTCTCCTCAAGAAAACTGCACCAAAGGACCAGGTTTTATGATCTCACGTGTACAAGGCTTGTGTGCTTAACTCATATGCTTGTACTGAGTAGTGTTGTCTTTAGCTCACTGCTCCTAAATGAAGACTGTTTCTTCACTAGCAATACATATAGATATCCAGATCACCCCTGAAGGCATCTCTTGCATATCCAAGCATTCCAGGTTCTAACACCAGGTAAGCAGTGCTTTTGTTTGCCGTCAGACTACATACACAGTGTGAGGAGTCAGCAACTGTGGGGATGCCTTTTCACCATAATGATGAAGTGCAGATAAAACAATAGAGTCTTCACTTGGTACACCCAATTAAAGACTGCAGTTAGTTGACCTCTAAGGAGAAGATCTAGAGCCAGTGGGTTGACTTAGCTGTCAATTGTTAGGATCTGGTTAGGTGCTTGGGTGGACCTTGAAAATCTGGAGCCTGTAGTATTTTATACTCTGATGGGTCAGAGGTGCCGCAGGGTACTTTAGATTCTCTTGTGAAGTGCCCTGTGTAGATTTTAAGCTTGTTCTGATAATTGATAATCCTACAAGCTCAGAACACTGCTTGAGGTCCTAAACTGACCTAGATGAAAAGTAAAACTTTGATGATAAAGAAAACACCAAAATCACTGTACTAAATATTCTTTGTGAAGAATCAAGTAAAATGTGATGAAGAGTCATGGTATGATGATAAGTTTGTACCTCTTCCAAAGTGAGAAGAGGAGGTGTTTATATACTCCAAGACCTATGTGGCAACTTGTGGTTGGGACTTGTGTTTGCTTTTCTTTGGGTTAAGTTTTGACTTTACTAATTAAGTTATTGTTAAGTCTTAACTCTTGAGTGACTCTTGATACTGAGCCATGAGGTGTAACCTTTATGGCTTTGAACATATTACATACATTTACATGTGTGTTTGTTAGTCCATGCTCCTGTAAACAGGTCTCAGGGCTGACACACAGGCCCTAATCACAGGTCACTGGCAGGTAGACCTTTGACCTGGCCCCTCCCCGGTCATTCTTGGCTCTCCCAAAGCCCGCCCCTGAAATTCCCCGGTGGAAAACGTTTTCAAAAACTGGTCCCGCCTCCTGACCTCGCAAGTGCATTAGTCAGGGATTCCCCGCAATTCTGGGGGCACAGCGCAGACTTAGCCGTGCAGGCCTTGCTTTTAGCGCTTTTTGGTCCCTCCAGCTTCCCCAAAGCCCGCCCCCGCAAGCTCCCTGGCAATTGTTTCTTCCCAACACTCATCCTGGCTCCCAACCTTGCGGGGGCGGGAGCCGAGGAGTCCCCAGAATTGCGGGGCAGGGGCAAAGACCTACTGGCAGGCCAGGGCAACCAACTACATCAGAATATTATGGGATATTTGTTAAAAATATATAACACATGTACCAATTATATATTGGACAGATATCCATTCTCTACACTCATGATATCTATACAAGCGTGGTATATATATATTAAACATTTCAATTGCATTTGTTGTAGATTCCAATCTAAACTGTAGTTAGTAATCCTAGGCAAACCAAATCACCCTGGTTAGAGAGGCAAAGGTTTCTTGGGGGGGGGCCTCCGCTCAAGTCTGAGCTGAGGGGGGTAGGACCACTAGCACTGTAGATGGGTGAGCTCTTCCCCTTGACTTGGGGCATTGTCCTGAGCCTGAGAACGCCCATCTACGGTGGCCTGGGTCAAATACCATTGATACAATAGAAGTTCCCCCCGGAACAATGCATTTCAAAAAAAAAGGTAACCACCAATGATCCGTAAAATTGACTGAATCACAACCTCAAGTTCATATTTTTAAATCCTTTAAAAGTTTAACAGTTCTACCAAGCTCATCTTCATCAAATTCCCTGATGTAGAGTTTGTACGCTTTTGATTTCCAACGGCCTACCGCAACTATCTCCTCCAGAGGGGTGTCTAAATTCCACCTAAGAGACGCCCCACCAACTCTAAAGGAATGGCCGGTAAGTTTCACGTTTACATGTGCTTTCCATACACCATCGAAAATCCGTTGACACCTAGCTTTCGTCATTGAGACTCTCCTTCCGTTGTGTAGATAAGAGAACAGCGGGTCGTCCTCTGTCGTGTTCGTGGTTGAAATAAGCCTACGAACAGCTCCCATCGGGTCTAAAATTGACGGTTGATATTGACAATGGATCTCTTGCACTTCCCCCACCACCGCGGTCTTAGCTTCGCGAATCCTTATTTTCAAGAATTCATTCCTTGGGTCCCAGATGACATCCTTCACACGCACTTGGCCCGTCTTCACTGATGGCTTCACCAATTCCCCAAGGCGTGCCATCCCCAAAAAGGCGACTAGGGCAACCGTGTAGGCGACTTGGCATTCCACATCCTTTCCCGCTAGGTTTTCTAATAAAATGAATAGGTGTTCTACCGTGACCGGGTTCTTCAGAATTTTTGGTGCTTTGGTGAGTTCGAGCTTTTCTGCTGTCCTTAAAATGGCTTCGACCCGTGGTGTCATGTGATGTGGGTATTCGCAACTGTGCAGTAGATGCCAGGCCTTGATGCCAGAGAGATAAGTACGAACTGTCGTCGATTTGATCGGAGGGGGGCCTAGTGCCGACTCGTTTCCCATCAGAGGGGGGCTCGCCCAAATAACAAATTGACACAGGGTGGACGGATCGATCGGCATGAGTAGATCACAAGGTACGTGTTTGTCCAGGGCAAAAGCCAAAAGTTTGGTGACGCCCGCATTGTAATGCTTTAAAGTTGAATCGGCCCAACTGCCACCTATTAGGTAAGCTTTTACCTCGTCCGACGATGAGGTGTCCACTCCATTCTGATCTCTTCTAAATTCCATCGATAGGTCGTCGAGATTAGGAGATTCAGTGAGTAGTAGCGATTACTCAAAGTAGTAAGGAAAAAAAAAAAAAAAAAGGGGGGCGCGAGGTGGGCTTCAAAGGGATATGAAGTTGGAGGTAAAATAACTTCCGAGACTTTGATCTGGCAACGGGATGTTCTCCCAGTACAATGTTTGCGCCAGGTGTAGACGGTACAACACAATGTACCGTGGACACGTATGTCGGGTCATCACTGTGATGGGTAAAAAAACAAAAACAAGACATGTACTAGCATATATTTCACGTTACATCATCGTACCACTTGTTTCACGAATGATCTCAAGTCAACAGGCACTTCCATAACTATTTGATCTTCGACGTCTCTCTGATCCTTTCCTCTAGACAATAAGTCCGCAAGATTATCACCAGACTTCACTCTTACCGCCAACAAATCCGTATGCAAATCCATCAACAGATTTTGAATGGCTTTCCATTCATCGTTGACCGCCTGGTCACCTGAACGTCTCTTTTCCACCGCCGACTGTGAAGTCGTGTTATCGGTAAGTACGATGAACCTTTTCCCACCGACTTTGTGAAATTTGCTGATCATGATCATTCCTAAACGTATCGCCACCGTTTCCGCCCATGCGATATTCTTGGTTACTCTCCCGATCTTCGGCGCATTCCAACCTTCTTCCAACACGAACTCGGCCCATTTCTTACCGATCAGTACACCAATTCCCGTGAGTGAAGCATCGCCCACCCATTCCAAGTCTATTGGAGTTGTATCCGGGATAATTCGCCTCGAATCGAACGTCAGGAGTGCTCCTCTCCATTCAATCAGGTCAGTCTTCACGTCCTCTGGAATCTTCCTCTTAGCTGACGGTACCTTCCATTCCTTCTTCCAACGCCACAAACTAGGCATACAATATTGCAAATGTGGGACGATATACGAAGTGTGCACCAACCTTCCTATCAGCGATTCGACAGTCTTCAAATAGAAAGACTCATTTGGTACTAAAAAATCGATAACCTGCTGTAAACGTTCTTTTAGTTTATCTTCCGGAAGGCGTACCGTACGTTCTTTCGCATTCCAGATGAAGCCGATGTATCGCTGCTCATCCACGAAGTCGTGGACCTTTTCCGGGTTGGATGCAACACCCATCTCATTGCTCAAATGCACTATATTGTCGATGGTGGTTGGATTGGTACGTTCTTTCACAAGCAAATTGTCATCAACCCATCGAAATGCACTTTCTAACTTGAAGTGTTTCACCATAATCTTCCTCCATAGATCCGCGGGACGTCCAAACACTCCACAACCCGCGACGCCGCCGAATTGGATTCTGACGTCCATCCACAGCCTGTTATACAAATCCAGGATAAACAAGTAGCGCCATTGAGAGGGGTGAGTGGCGATTTGTCTATACGCCTTTTCCCATTCAAACAAGGCTAATACAAGGTCTCCCTTATTATTCTTGAAAAACATGATCACGACTTTAAAATCGTCCCAATTGGTTTCAAATTCCCTCTTGTCTACGAAACTATTCACGGATGGGGTTTCTGGTTTATCGTGAGGAAAGGATAAATCATTGATGATTCGAAAGGAGCCATCACCATTGATGACGCCTCCCATCGGGTTGGATCTGAAGAATCCAAATTTTTCATAGACTTCCTTGTGAGTGAATGGACCGAAAATCCGTGACACTCTCCTTTCCTTGGCTAGAGTGTTCTTGATTTTCTCTTCTGCTAGTAACACTGACTCGTGATTTTTTGGTGTAAACCATTTCCTATCTCCCATATCATGTTGTGGAATTCCTTGATGGAATCCTACTTCGCAGCCTCTTAACACTTCCAGTGCGTCGTCGCCTATCTGATGTAGCTCTATCAGTGAATGCCACCTCTGTATTTTCAGATCTGATTTCACAATTTCATCCGGCCACCTTGGGCAGCGATTGACCCCAGAATTTCGATATGGGATCATCTTGACCTTTTCACCTCTTCTGCAAAAGTTACTCTCTCGAGTCGGCTGCTGGGATGAACTGGCGTCTTCTCTTGACAACGAGGAACTTCACAGAGTAAAGCAGGCCAATCGAATTCAGTAAAGGAAGGCAATAGGGTCAGACACTTAGTTTGGCACAAACGACAAGGTTTTCACTAATCAAAACATATGGTTGCATTTCGGGAGCGACAGATGGTCAAATCGACACAAGGCATCTAAGCACCTCAACATCCTTCAGTGTGACAATACACGACGGCTTCCCCTAAAAACAGGTACAAATCAAGAAACCTCGATGACTCAAAACAAAGGTATACAGCCTCATCTGAGCGGTAGGGACCTTTCCTAATCTTTTTATGAGGGGGGGTTATACGGAATAAACTTTGGGTAAATCCAATCGTGGCTTACTTTGCCTTTCCGTTTCCCCCGTATGGTTTAGGGCCTTTATTGAAATCTCTTTTGTCTGTTCGACGATCATTGCGTCTGTCATCTCGTCTCCACGAGTTGCTTCCTTCGCCTCGACGAGAGTTATCCCCGTTCCAGCGAGGAGGAGGGCTTGTATCTCTGCCTCCACCGCTACCCATGAAATAACCACCGTTTCTACCTCGTCCACGAGTGTTACAACCTCCATTTCGGCGGTCGTCTCCGTGACTGGTGTAACCAACTGCGCCTGGACCGTTATACAACGGTTGGTTTGAATGGGCCCATGATCTGGCGTTCGGTTTGCCGACGTGGGTGGGGCCAAAGGTTTGTCCGACATTAGATCCTTGAGTTTGACGTGGCGTTAGGTTAGTATGTTGAGTGAACGAGCCGTTCCTGAGTGGTTCACCGGTAATTGGGTTAATGTGTTCCTTTGGCCCACCGGTAGCATAGGGATTCGAACCGGCATAGATGGGAAGGAAATCATTATAGCGTTCGGTATCACGGAAGCATTGTCGCTTGATTGTGATGTTGCGTACAGCTGGATTCGCTAAGTTACCGTTGGCCTTTCGGATGGTTAAAACTGAGGTACGTATGGCAATGTCATAGCGGAACGCCATCGGCCAATTAACGTTCTCTTTCATGATGTCGAGGACATTTTGCTTATGTATGGCCATCTTATTAGCCGTGTCTTCGTGGGTGTAATGACGTAAATAAGCGACATAAAGGTCGAAGGCAACTACCCATTCACCAAACGACATTTTCCATTCAACTGGAACGTCGTGACCGACATAAGATTCTTCAAGCTTTTCTTTCGTGGTACATCGACGAAAGGACTGGGTTACCAAGTCTTGGTGTAACCATTGGGTATTAAAGATGGATAGGGGAAGGTAGCCTTTTAGAGCTGTCATTTTAGTATCGAACCACGGTGACAACGCTACTAATCCGTTTGAGTCGATACCGCCTTCATCACATATAACCTTCAACTCTTTCTCTGCGACAGGTTCCTCAGTAGACGTTTTCGATGTATCGTCGTCTTTGCTTAAATCCACAAAACCTACCAGCCTGCGTCTGGGCTCGACTGGGGTTGAGTCTGATTGATTGGTCGGAGTAACAACTGACGAGATAGCATTGACATGTGATCTGAGCCGAGTTGATGTGTTCGTGTTGGACGGGTCATCGGCCGTAGTTGACGGGTTAGGAGCAGGTCCCACGGTCAATCCGTTGGCTGCCAACCAAGAGTGGAAACCACAAGGTGGACTTAAACCGACACCAGTGCTTGTGTTGCGTCTAGCAGGTGAGCGATTGGCTGATGACATGAAAAATTTTCCGGTCAGTAACTGATCCCTGAATAACAGTCCGAACATCTCTACATGGAGGCAACATCATTACGATGGCTACACAGAGTCGCTGTGGCATCGCCGAACGGCGGCAACACCTCGAAGGTGGGTAGGAAACATCTGAGTTATCGCGGCTTACGTGTTACACCCGTATTAACTTGATCTCTTGAAATCAACCCAGTGGGTTGAGAGGGCTGAGTAGTACCATCAGCTTGTTCTTGGGTGGCGTTAACTCCAGTGTTGGTAGTTGGCTCCGTAGTACTGGTTTGGTCTCCAGAGTTTTCGATTCCCGATAGGTTATTTGCGTTTGCTTCAGACAAAGAGGCTGCAGCAGCGCGGGCTGCTGCGCTGGATCTGGTGTTAACCGGAGCTGATTTCTTCCCTCGACCTCTTCCTCTACTTCTAGATGTTGTCTGTCGTGGAGCATTTGGATCCGGAGTCGGTAGATCTGGCATCACCACATTCGATCTGTCTTCGAGGGGAGTTGATCCTGCGCGGTTGGTCAATCTCTCACTAGTTCTCTTCACGTGTTCGTTAAACTTCTCTAGGTTTGTTTTGATTTTGTCGTTGATGGACGACATGTTGACTATGACAGGGTTCTGGCAGGTAATTGAAAAATTAACACTGCAGGTCGACTTGTTGAGAAAAAGTTGCAGCAGGCTACTGAAAAAATAAACACTGCTATTGAACCGTTGAGATTTTGGAAAATATTCTTTTTCCTGACAGGCTATTGGGAAATAGCACTGTATTAGGATTCGAGAAGATGAGTGTGAGAGAGAAGTGATTGGATGAGATGCTTGAGCCAACAGTGTGAGATAACTATCTGCGAGGGATGAATAAGCTCGTGGGGGGAAGATGGAACAATTTTCCTGCAAGGGTAAATTTTCCAAACATTTTCCCAATGTCTGTGTACAGGAAAAATGGTTGCTTCTGTAGAAGCATATTCCGCCCCGAAAACAGCCCCGACGCGCTATCTCAACTGTGTCATGGAAAGTGGCGGTACCGTCGTGCCTTTGGGTACCGCCAATCATCAAAGATTCAAATATTGTCCAATTCTCATAAATTCATTTATGGGATACAATATAGAAGCCTGGGCTTCTTCTGAGTTTCCAAACTTGGACTTTTTGACTGTAGTTGGGACACTTGGAAACAGGGTTACCATTCCCAGTTTTTCTCAACTTTGAATCCCCGATCAGACAATTTTTCACCCCACTTTTCCATTTCACATCAAGCTTGATCTCAACTAGGGCTGTGACCCGGACCCGGACCTGCCCAGCCAACTCTGCCCAACAGCTCTCACAGAGCTGACAATATGCGCCCCGGGGCTTTCAAACCTTGCTGAATGACGGTAAACTTGGCCCCACAGAGGTGTCGGGCAGCTCCGGCGCCCAACCTGGCCAAGGCACCGGCCATGTTTCCACCAGCCATATCTCACCATAATCCGTATACAGGGTTGGCAGATTGTATTCTGACAGACCTAAAACGTTATTGGACTTCTAGAATGCCCTGTATTGCCACAATGGCGCGCCCTGGTCGGCCCTGTGCATATTTTGAAGGTACTTGGGTCTACCCAAGTCTGGGTTTGGCCCCGTGGCAGCCCCGTCACACTCAGGGCTGGGTCACAGCCCTAATCTCAACTTCACCTCCTCTGTAAACCTCATACATCATCCCCAAGTGAGATTGGGAAAATTATCAAAATTGTAGTTTTTCATGGAAAGACATATCACTGCACACCTGAGCAATAACACCTACACTACATATGTGCAGCAGGATGGGAGAATTGGGAGCTATCATGTACATACAGAGCTGCTCAGCTATTGGCTCATCTGAATGAATATATCACATGTGATACCTTCTGTAATTGTTTCAGCATGACAAAAGTATTGCAAAAATTGACTACATACACTGCCTCATAGTTTTGGTGTAATTCCATTAACTAAACTTCATCTCACACCCTTTCTGTTGCTGTTGAATGGCTTTCTGAGTATTGCTTGAGTAGCTATGGTGGGATATGTAGTCAATTCTTGAGACAATTCTGTCAAACTGGAAGATGTTACATGATGTATCACATGTGACACCACAGGAATTATCAGGTGTGAAACCCAATTGAGCCAAGTTGTGGTGTCTGGGTCCGCGACTTTTGTCAATCACGGATCTTGTTTGCCATATGTTTGCTAGCTCGCCTCAAGCCGCCCTTAAGTTGTCTAGAGTACAGTATATACACCTACATATGTAAAACTATTTACATATTCCACCTCTGCCTCATAAATAGGATTTGTACTCACTACCCTGAGGGAGGTTGAATTGGAAACAAGTTATTGTGAATGACCCACATGATCTTGAGTGGTCTGATGATATTGAAAGGAAAACTGTGCATAAAGGAAGCACAAAGGAAGGTATGATCAAGAGCTCTATGTATCACATACATATGCAGGTGTATATACTGTATTCTATAATCTAGAGTCTAGACAACTCAAGGGCGGCTCGAGGCAAGCTAGCAAATGTATGGCAAATGTATGGCAAACGAGATCCGTGAATGAAGAAAGTCGCGGACCCTGACACCACAACTTTGCTCAATTGGGTTTCACACCTGATAATTCCTGTGGTGTGATGTACTTATTCAGATGAGTAGGGAGCTGAGCAGACCTGTATGTACATGATTGCTAACAATTTAGTCAGCTTGTTACACATATGTAGTGTGGGTGTTATGGCTCAGGTGTGCAGTGATAGAGGTTTTTATGACAAACTACAATAATAATCATTTTCCCATGCCCATTTGGGATTAATGTATAATGTTTACTATGTTTGGTCTCAAGATTAGTTGAGACCAAAAGTCTACCTATGACCCTCAGATTATATTTTCATATCCTCAAAGTATCAAATGGCAGATGTTTCACTTTTCTACATAGGAGATCTTTTGACCCTTAAATTTTGGAACCTCAGAGAAGGCTGAAATTGAAGGACAAATAATTTAGGGTTTGCAATAAAGATAGAGACTGTGATAGAGACTGCTCCCAACCAACCAAATGGAGACTCATCACAATTGTACCTTTGCTGGGATTTCCCCTCTTCATCTCTATGCTACTTCTACCAGTTCATCTGTGTCGTATTATCAGATATATCTCTTCTCTTCATATGTGTTCACACTCTGGTTTGATTGTTATCCACTACAGCACCATCAATGTGTTCTTGGAATTTGCTTGAATCATGGCAAGGTTTCACATTATGATCAATTTGTGGAGGTTCATGACTTCTTGTAATCCAACTCAAGCAGACTGGTTTACTCCACTTATATACTGGAACCACCAGATTATCCTTGTTTTAGAGCTATTTCCACCGTGGACTCCTCGGGAGGCGGGATGTGATGGTAAGGATATATGTCCAGTCAATTAAGGAAGACTGGCCTCCACTCATACAGGCAGCACACTGTCACCTTACTGTCATTCATTCTGAAATCTTGACTTTACATTGAGATCAGGTTTAGAATACTGGCCTTGTGTGGGATGTGAGACTCTGAGCCTATCAATTTTGGTGCTTTGCGTATCACACCTGTTATTGTAAAGGGTCCGGGGGACTGAGAGGCATAAATATATACCAAATGTATTCAGCTGAAGAGCTAGCCAGCGGGCGGGTTGCACATTCACACTGATCATTGGGGTCAGTTCCAAGACTTCAAACAATCATTAGTGAAATGGTCTTAGATCACATGTTTATTCATATTCAAGTAGTAGAAACAGTCTCTCACTGTGATTTGAACAAACAAAAAGTAAATGTACCTTTTCCAAGAAGGGATTCCACCAGAATAAAAACTTGAAAGCAACATACACATCATCTCCCCTCACAAAAAGTCTCACATATGTATTGCCACTCAGGATTGCTACACAAGGGTTAACACGGCTCTTGGGTTATATTTTCAATTTGATTTACCTTGTGCATGGTTAAGGCACATACATAATCCAGAATTGCTGAGCTCTATGTTGAAGTTGTACAGCCTAAACGCAAGTCAAGTGGGGCATGTGGCTTCAGCAGTGAGCTATCCACTCTAATTTCTTGGACTGTGCATTGTGAGCCCACTCTGCAAGGTTTTCCTTCACTATGACACCTTCACAATCTGATCACAATACATATACCCAGTGAAAGTGAAGCAAAATTTCCAGCGAGACAAGGTAGTGAGACTATGCAATATGGAAGCTGAAGAAGAGAAAGAATGTATATATATATATATAGCAGAGAAAGAGGCAAATCTTCAACTTGAATATGTAGATATATACTAGGGATACTTGAATACAAAAGATAGGAAAGTAAAGCCCCATTGATGGGAGGATTTTGATACGGCTACATATTTTGAATGTGGCAGAATTTTCACGTGTCCTACTCTCAGACTTACCACTGTTAGTCTTTTTGGGCTGAGGTTGCCCTGAATGAGATTTTGAAAAATCAGTAGCAATACATTTCCAATTCAATGATCCCATAAGAATTTGAAAATGAGAAACTTACTCTGTTATGCTTTGAGGATATGAAAATACGTTTTGAGGGTCGTAAGCCGACTTGATTTTGGTCAAGCGTTGATAACTATGATGATGTTTCAATGCTTTCAGAAGTTGAGGCCAACAACATGCAGGGACTCGGACTCAACTGTGTGTTGTAATACATGTTCTTCCACTCCGTCGAAGATAAGCGATCATCGACGTAGTTGGAATAGCCGCTGAACAATCAAAGTGGAGATTTTTCAGCTTCTTGTTGCTTTTGAGAATGCCTCTCCCATGATAATGGAGTACTGACCCATATCCCCATCCGGGAGGGCTATTTTTGAGAATGCTCGCAACCATTTGGTCCAGAAAAGTCAGGGCTGCAGCTGGAAATGGTTGCGCCGAGTCGTTGGTCCGAGTGTAGAGCTAGGAGCAAGAACGACAGAAAAGTTAGACGTGACATAATCTGGAACTATTTTCTGCAGAAGTAGAACAGATGCCTCACTTGAATAATCCATAGAGTAGAACGTTGAGCAAAAGCTGTCGCGTCTGTGGGTACAGAGGTGGTAGCTGAATTCTGACCACCAATGAGCGCAAGCTGGCCGAACCAGTTCTTTTTGATGCAGAGAGATTTTGATCAGTGATATGAAGCAGAAATACCAGGACGAAATCGCCCGCATACCATATCTGTTTTCCATCCTTCTGACGCGAGATATTTGGAGAAAGCTTGAATGGTCATATTTGACATCGGTGTCGATTTTGGAGTGGTCAAAGACTTCGCGTAGAAATTATCATGCTCAGCTGATAAGTCCACGCCTGGGAAGAAGAAAAATGAAAAACAAGGTGCAGCCCATCATCAGGTCTCCATCATAAGTGCCACAAAGTAGTAATAACAAACCTGAAGTCGACAGATTTTGTGACCCAGCCGAGACTTGTAAGCTGGAGAGCCAATCATTCTTCTTTACTGAACTAGTAGCCGGTGGTGGCTAGAGAATCAAGGGCATGTAATGTCAAGGGGGGATCAGATCTTTCCGTGGTGGACGAGCTTACCATGACGTCCAAAAAGGGCTTTACGACTGCTGGAAAGTTTGAATTATCACCATGCCATGTCCCAGATATGCGAAAGTTGAGACGTCCAGACTTGCTCCCTCTCCCAAAATTTGCATCAAATCCCAATTCCGAGGGTAGGTCGGACTGAGAAAATATTTGAAGTTGAATCATCGCTCTTGCAAAGTCAGTTTGATTAAAATCCCATCCGATGTCAAAGTTTGTAGGTTGACTTGGAGCTAAATGTGTTCGAAACTTGATGGATGTCATGATACCATACGATGCTCCTGCACCTCTCAAGGCCTATCAACGTGTCAAAGCGTCTGAGCATTGATGATCCAACGGGACGTGGAATGAGCTGAGCAAGAAAAGCCACATTCCACTTACCCAGAAGAGGTCCGGATTGGTATCTTGCGATGCCTGAACAATTGTACCGTTCGCAAGTACCACTTCTTGGCTGATGATGTTGTCCAAGGTCAAACCCCACATCCGACTCGTGAAACCGTAGCTGAAAATCAAGGAACACGAGGGCGTATTTACAATGCATTTTTCACTTCTCTTTGATGACCAAGCCACTTACCCTCCAAATGAAGCGTGTCCTCCAATACCGACATACGGACACAGACCGTGAGGAATTGCGCGCCGACCTTGAGAGTGTAATCCGATAGCCACATCACCCAATCTGTTTCCAGTTCCAATAAGAGCTTGTCCTGTCGACTGATCAACAGAGACTGTCTTAAGTCGCGAGAGATCGACCACCAAGGCGCCATTTGCTCCTCCCAAGCCATAGGCGGCGTATGAATGTCCACCGGAGCGAGGTGAGACTATAAAAACAAGCAAGAGATCAGTTAGGGCTCTGTCTGGGTGTTTTTCGAGGACCCATCGCAATATGAGCTCACCTGGAATTTTGGCTTCAACAGCTACTTTAACACAATCCGAGACAGCTTTAGTATTGTTAGGGAAGACGATGGCAGCTGGGGTATAGCTCAGACGTTTGTTGAAAGGTGTAGCAAGTTTGCTATAAGATGAATCTCCTGGATAGACGGCGTCGATTCCCAACCCAGAAAATTGAGCTCGCAAAGAAGCAGTATCTGTTCTAACAGAGCATAACAAGCTCAAAGCGCATGAAACGGTGAACAGGGAGTTGAGCATTGGCATTGCCTTTGAGTGTCCGAGACCACGAAGAAGTTTGTTGAATCCTAAGTGGGGGATGTAGAAGCAGAAAAACGAACACACAAGCAGTATCATGAAGGAAGTGCCGAGGATTTATATCCCTAAATTGCATCATATTTGTAGTCAACCGCGCTGAAGGCAAGCGGCGCTATATACAGGAAAGAGATGGATTGTTGTTCATACCTGATCAGGCGCCGTATATACAGTCTAGGTCGAGCAGGTTGGCCGCTTGAAAGAGTTCGTGAAATTCAGTTAGTCTGGCTAAACCCACATCCGGCTTGATCCTTGAATTCGGGTTTTTGATTATTCGAGTTGTTTCTATGGCCTAATTATAGTCTCAGAACGCCAAAGGAGATGAGGTGATGGTTCCCCCACCAACCGCTCATATCAGGTCTTTTGGAAGGATGATATGCAGAGCTTCAAATCTGTCCTTCCCAACGCGTCTTGATACAACTCGATGAGCGACTTCAGCATTTCCACCATGCGTGCTTTGAGAGCCAAAATAGCGGGAGTGGAATGAAATTCAAGCCTTCTGCCAACGGCATTGCCTCCTCGTCTGCGCCTAACACAAGTCCCTCCTCGAATCGTGCGTGTCCTTCGGAGCGGTTGGTGGGCTAGCTTCTGCGCGGGTGTTTGGCGTTCTTTAAGCAGCAACCCGCATAGCTGATGGTGACCTTGATCTGCCGTAATACAATCCGAGAATAAATCCCTGATTATACTTCGCGGTTTGTCTTTTTGTCACGACCAGGGCCCATATTTCTCAGTCAAGTACCGAAGGGATTCTATGGACTTTCGACAGCCTATTTCAAAACCCACTCTATTTGTAGTGGTCATGATAAAGTCAAAAAGTATTCAATGGAACACGGATAACGTTGCAAACCTCAGGCCCAGAGATTCTCAGGTCTTGGGGAATTTGGAGAAACATTTGCAGCAGTCGGTATGGAGAATTGACATTTGGGAATATGCATGTAGTGCAGTGGCAGAGGCATAAACTTGAAAAAGTACAACAGAAGCCATTCACAGCAGCAGGAAGGTGAGCTTGTGCGATCAATGATGAACCTAAAGTCTCTGGACAAAATCTAGGCCTCTGGTCGTAGTGTGAGTCCATACTCACAGCAATGCACTTTTAGTATTACCCAATACAATACCCTCGCACAAATACGTTACTCTTCAAAACCAAGCTGACTCTTCTCATGAGCCTATCAAGACTTGTTGAGCTCAGTCCGATGCTATAGTAGAGAAACCCATGATCAGCGTTCAATGTCCATTCACTCGAGGTCACGATGTTTGTCTCAATATAAAGGCCCTTCACAAATGAATTATCCCAAAAACAGACCCAAATCTTGCTAGCAAATGCTATTTATACATCATCAATTTGGTTGATCATAAACTCAGCTTCATCAAACATTCTCTAAATGATTACATACAAACAAAACACATCAATTGTACTTGCAAAGCCTAAATCCTCTAAACGTGTTTACTGATCCTGTTCTATATGTTTCACTCGTTTTCCTTGTAATGGACTTGGTTCGAAACATTCACTTTCTAATAAGTCGCCACCAAAAAATGTATCCATTTGTTCAGGTTGCATCGGCACAAATGGATGCAATGAACCCCTAAGAACGTTTGAAGGTCCTGCTCGCGATGACTCAAATTGGTTTTGATTATTGCTCATTTTACCAACACCGAACAAAGTAGGCGATAAGGGTAAGCTACTACCCTCTTCATATGATCGATCTTGTTCATCTGGCTTATCTTCATGTGATCTTGAAAGCGAGACACGCTTGGGGTCGGGTTGCCAAGATTCTTCATCAAAACTAGAATCGGGTAACGGTCGTTTTCCAATAAATTCATCACGATCTTCCAGATGATCATAAGGTCCCTTGATCGACAATCGTTCAGAATCCCCAGCCCACAGATCAATGAGTGATTTTGATACATCACGAGTTTGGCTCGGTTGTAAATTCGATCCATCACGAGACTGACTCGGTTGCAATTTGGATGAATCGCGAGACTGACTTGCTCGACTTTCGATCGTAGCATCTTTACTTCCAGCTTGTAGTTGCAAAGTACTCTCGTCCTGCTGAATTGAATTCAGACTATCACCTTCCTCTTCAAAGCCCTTTCGATTGGATTCAACGCCGGTTCGATTTCGAAACATAGATTCATAACCTCTCGCGTTCCATTCTCGAAGTACACTCGGAGGCTCTATCAAAGGACTATCCTCTATATCGGCTGGATTCGCATACCCCGCACGGAATCTTGCGGTCTCAAGTATATCCCTTGTTACTAATCTTGCGGCTTCCTTTGCTGGTGTTCGAGCAAGTTTAGATCTTGGAACTGAGAAATGCAAAGTTTGAGGTGGTGGAATACCAGCCATCATTGAATCTTCTTCTTCCCATTCACGTGATTTTCCCTTCTTTGAACTTTCACCAATGCAAGGTTGGAGTTTTTTCTTACTAGGACTTGTGAAGCTTTCTAGAGTCGTCTTTCTAAGATCAGCGATACCGTTCCAACCGGGATCGTTGACTTCCGCAGGAAAAGCGATCCGACCAGAAGTACCCTCAGGACCGATCCCCCTTGGCTTCGCAGGTGTGCTTACCTTAGGTCTACTGTGATTGGTTTGAATCATATTCTTCATGATAACTTGATGCAAGAGTATCGAACCTCTTCCAGCAGATTTTCGACGTGGCGCTGGCGAGCCGTCCTCTCTCCCCGAATCACCCTCGTCGTCACCAGGCACGATAGGAGAAGCAGTGAAACCAGAAGCAAGTGAATTACTGTGCGAATTATTCAAGATGTGTGAAATATTTTGAGCCGTTGGATTCTGCAAAGTATTGTCTGGTGAATCGAAACTCAAATCATTCCAGACCGGACGGCGAAGACTTGCTGTTGAACCGCTCTGATGACTCATGTCAACCACTGGTGGTCCAGAAGGTACGGCCGGATCCTGTGTAAGTTATCAGGACTGGGTTGAATACTGATACTTCATATAGGGATGTTCATAGCAAAAGCAAATACGAACAAGGGAGCTTGATGATAGGTCCTGATCTTCGTTGGGTGATGGGGGTACGTCCTGCGAAACATCTTCTGAAGCCAGGTCGTTTTGTAAAGATTCATCGCGCCTTTCGTCTTCGGTCAGTTTGGAGGTTTCCGTCTCGTCGTCGTCGTAACCTGACAGTTGAACATTTGCAGAAGCCTCAAAGAAGTGTTGCCAGAACTGGACATATCACAGTTGATCAGATCAACCTTAAACATAATGACATTTTAAGAAGACTAACTTTGAGGCCTTCCCATATCCCTCTACTTGCTTCACCATAACGCTCCACCTCTGGTAAGATTTTATGAGTGATAGTACGATGGGTTCGTCCAAAGTTGGCATCGATGTCTGGATGAAATTTGATCGGTCAGGACGCGAGAAAGGGTCGAATTTGTCAAAGTATGGGACTCACTCTGAAGAAGTGAAACGAGAATCTGATCAACTTGTAGACAAGCTGCATCACATTCTGCTGGTGAAAGTTCATTGATTTCTTCATCAGAAAGGAGCTTAGGATTCTTCGGATCGTAGAACAAGCGACGATTTGATGATGACCTGTTGAGACATGATGTAGAAGGCAATCAGTTAATCAAAAGACTTTCATGTTGTCCTACCATTTCATAAAAACAACTTGGACTCACATGTTTGACAGGTTTTCTGAAAGTCGTGATGCTGCCTCCATGCTGCCCAATCTCAACCCCGCGACACACCGTCAACACCGGAGCGGGTGAGCGGGTTTCACTTTATCCGACCCGAATCATGACCAGCTTTTCGAGTTGCAAGAAATGTTTCCCAGAGTCCTTACAGGCAGCGCATACACTCAACTTCGAAACAAACTTGTTGGACAGCTCGAACTTCAGAATCATTCATTTTGCACTTCAGAATCCAGATGGACCGCTCCCAAGTCCTAAATTCATGTCTCCACCAAAGATTTTTATCAGCTCCAATACTAGCAACTTGAAATGAATTCATCGGAATGGATCCTGCGAATGTGAGTAGGTTTCAAAGCTGACTTCTTCTCCATGTACACTACAGACTCGCTAATCGTAGTTTTCTTCAGATAATCACAGACTGCAGGTAAATGGGGAAGGATGAAGCAGAATTGCTTATACACATTTTCTGGCGACTTGCCCCTTAGACACCATGCGCACATTTGATGCAAATGTATAGGCTAGCACTGCAAACATTATTCATCTTCCCCCAGTGGGCAGGAAAAAATGAATGGGAGTATGATTTGTCATAAAATGATCCATCGCTCCACACCTGAGCCATAACACTCATGCACACTATGGTTGCTACTGTCAAAGGCTTGTGAATTTCAGACGGATACCGCAAATGCACAAATCCAATGTTCTCACTCAAAACTTAACAGTTCAACATGTGAGAGCAGATTTGAGATCCTCAGTCTTATGTCTGTGTATGTATAGCTTTTCTGAAATATTGACCTACAGTTATCCATGAATTGTCCAGGCGTTGTTTTTGAGTGGAAATTTCAATTTGATAATAAAAAAACAAAGGAAAAAAGACAAAAAGAGTTGTAATCCAAGCATTTAAAAAAGCTACAGATGGAAAGCGGCCAGGCTGTGCAGTCTAAACATGGTCTTACAAGCTTGGAGGGCTGAGTTTTGAGCAAGAACATCCAATTTGAAGGTTTGGGCTGAAATTCATAAGCCTTTGGCAGTAGCAACCATACATATGTGTAGCAGGCTCAGTGAATAGGCAGTTACCATGTACATACAGTTCTGCTCAGTTATCTGCTCATCAGGATAGGTTATTCATACGTAATACATGGTGAAACTTTTTTCAGATTGACAAAAGCATTCAAAAGATGGACTACATACATGGACTCAACATTTTGGTATAATCACATCAACTCAACTGCATGTAACACCCTTTCTGTTACTAAGAAATAGCTTCAAGAGTATTGCCTGAGAAGCTACAGAATCATATGTAGTGAATTTTTGGAGCAATTGTTTCAAAGTCAAAAAAGTTACATGTGGTATAACATGTGATCTATTTATTCTGGTGGGCAAAAAACTGAGCAGAGCTGTATGTACATGATAGACAACTATTCACTTAGCTTGCTGCACATATGTAGTGTGGGTGGTATGGCTCAGGTGTGCAGTATTGGATCCTTTCATGACAAACTGTACTATTAATCATTTTCCTCTTCCAACTGGGGAAGTTGAATGATGTTCACAGTGTAGCATGATAACAGCAACACAGCCACAGTTACTTTACTATTTGCAGTAAAGTAACAGTATAGTAACTGCAATACTCAGTATTGGTTTGGGCAATATTAAATAGCGGGGAGTCAAATGAAATCAAACCCAAAGTGTGTTTTAGGCATTGCTTGGAAGCCTCAATTTATAACTCATGTTTTAAAGCTCACCAGTAGCTCTAGAGCCACTTGCCAGCTCTAAAATTATAGGTCTATGCCTATAATTTTAAGAAGGTTGTTTATGACAAATTGGTTGGGATGGGGTGGTGTCAGAGTTGCCATGGGAGGTATTAGGCTGGGATGACTTGTTGATTGTAATAGTAGCGGACTGCAAGACTTTACGTGGTTGTACCAACCACAGGTCTAAAACAGGTCCATAGGGGACCTGTCTGTCTTTCAGAATTAAACTGATGCTAAATCATGTCATCAAGCGGTAAACCGAAGAAGCGGGGGGACCCCTGAGAACGCTCTGAGAACTCTGAGAATCCCCCACATTCCCATGATATATGGGTTTATACTGGGAAACTCGTATGTAAATTGCCAACCACATGCTGCACATACTGACTTAATGTTAGACGGACGAAACCTTTTGTCCATTAAATCGGAACTCAGATAGCCGGGGGCCGGATGGTGGGTCGAGTGGTTTCCAACAGGTGACATCTCCATTCACCCCGATTCGGGAACCTTACTCCTTACACTCTCCACCTCAACTACATCAACGATGATGACCTCCACCGTTCGATCCAGTTAAACATACATCCACACATCCACATCCCTACCCACCCGGTAAGAATTGATCTGTGTAACGACTCAGCTTAATGAGTCACATATATTCGCCTTCTTCCCCTCCATTCTGCATTCTTACTACTCACTAATGATCATTCGAACTCTTTCAAAATAGGCGTTCACCCAATTGCTCACTACCATGCTCCTTCGTGACTTCACCACCCTACTCGACAACCAGTCTCCTTCCCTCTCGACCTCACTTACCGTCACCGATTTCGTCCGATTTGCAACCCTGGCAGGCGAAGTCCACCACCGCGCCGGGAAATCCTTACGTCTATCACCCGATCGAAACCCTGTCTTACCCTTTCTTCAATCTGCTTTATCAATGCAACCAACCGCGAATCATCTTTTGGCCGATCTATGGCACCTATCATTCCCATTTCTGCGCGCGTGCCGAATCGACCCAGGAGCTTCCATCCGCAAACTCGGCATCCAACTGTCCTCACCCGGCACCACAAACACGAACATGCATGAACGATTCCTACGCTCACCACTTTCAAAATGTATTGTCTGCACACCAGACCAGTCATATGTGTTACACGTCCACTCTCGCATAAACGGCTACCTGCACGATATCGATGGCGTGCACACGGTTCAGACTGTCATTCTGAATTGCTCCAGTTAAGTTTGCTTATTTTGCCGCAACAGTCGATTCAATTACTGACTATTTCGCGATGCATCAGATCCCAAATGTGGGACAGTATATAGACCCAGCTATTACAACCGAGACGGCGAAAGACTTTATTACACGAAGGCCATGGGCCGAGAAGACGATTACCTTCATGTACTATGTCACTATTACATGTCTCGTCGATTAGCCTACATGTTCCGTGTCCTCCAAATGTTGGCACAGTAAGTTCTTCCACTTATGTTGCTGTCACAGTTCCAAACTAACTGCTATTACGTGGTATGGACAGTGTGTCGCATTTCAACCTGGTCAACTGGTACAACATGATGTTTGTAGAAGATACACCTGCTCCGACTTTCACCGCTGGCCAACTGTTTACTCCGTCGATGTCCGAGGAAGCGTGTCGGCATGGTCTGACCCTTCATTCTCTGATGAAGCACGCGGACCGTCGCGGTACTCAGCTGGTGGTCAGCTCAAGCGGTGTGGACAACATACGTTTCGAGTAGGCAATAGAATCTCACCTTGACCTCTTGTTGATAGAAGGAACAAAGTATAGAGACCACTTTTGTTCTAGTTGTGTCCGTGTGAAATCAGATGGTGTAGATAGTGAAACTGGCCAAGAGTATATTAAATGTAAGTTCCATTTCGATCTTTTCCTAACAACACCTTTTTGTCTGACATGTTATGATTGCCATCTCAGCTATACGGGCCGTGGTCACGGATGGCCTGACGATCGGACACTGGCGCTGTAGCGCCTCTTCTGACCAACTGCGAGAGATTGCTCTTAAACTAGGCCACCCAATGCCCGAAGGACCTTGTACCAACAAACTTGATAACATCAATGACCGTTTCTGCCGAGATCATTTCGTGATACTGGGCAATCGATGTCAAGCTCAGCCGTGTTCAAAGGCCGCAATTACTGGTTCAGAGACATGTGAAGATGTTGATCACATCAAGGCCTGGGCAGCGTTCAACGAAAAAATCAAAGGGAACTTTTCTCTCACGTCGATTCTCAATCGACCAGGCTCACACCTTCCTACCGACCCGACTGTCCATCTTGATGCCGACACTGCGCAGATTCTGAACCTAGAGGTTTTACAGCACGCAGATGAGTCGCAACGAGCACACGAAGCGGCGCGCGATGGGGGCGAGTCACAGGCGGCAGGGAAATACTTATTATCAAGAAGCCGAACGCACAACGATCAGCTGATTGTTGCACCATGCGGAATTATATTAGCCAGAAAGACCTTCTACAATGCGGAATCCGTGAGTGCAGTAAAGGTAGGTAGTTCACTGATCGATCACTTCTTCCCTAACATGTGCTCATGTGCTCACCATGTCTTCTATCTCTAACCAACCACAGGACTTTGTGGAAGAATCTTTTCCTCAACGTATGCCAGAGGTTGTCTTTTATGACAACGCATGCAGGTTGACCGAACACATCTACGCAGGCCAGTCGGACGCATCCCGGTGGGCGGGAACGGTGATCCCTGTGGATCCCTTCCACCACCGCTCGCACGCCGAGTCCGACGAGTTTTGCAAGCTATTCACTGACCCCAAGCTGTTTCCAGATATCCAAGAAGAGGGACGATGGATCTTCAACGCTTCAGCTGCCAAATTGACAAACATATGGTATGGTGGGTTTGCCTCCATGTGTCGGAACATGCATTCACTAGTCTATAACTTCTTTTTGGAAGAGATGGTGTATCTGAGGAATGCTTGGCTGACAAAAAAACTGGACAAAAGATCTGGAATGGAGTATCTTGGGGAGGGTGTCTTGTAGTTTTCTTTTGCGAGTTATCCAACAGGAGGACATCAACGTCCAATGTTTGACAAAATAGGAAATTGTCTGGCCAATAATTAATGAATACATGTCATCCTCTTTGCTCTTTGCTCTTGGCCTATTGTTTTGGACTGCAACTCAACTTTCCGTGGAAGCCCCACCATCTTGTTGTTCTTCATCCTGAAATATGAATTCCAAATACATGAGAGATTCATGCTCTGCCACATATGAAAATGTCAAACACTGTATTGACAAGATAGTGTTTGAAAAACATGAAGTGTGGCATGCTGAAAAGCTTGGTTCTTTCTATTCTTGATGTACATTATTCAAGTAAAAGAATGTCATCAAGAGAAAATAGGACACACAATGGTATGCCAAAAGAGATTCATGCTCTGCCACATATGAAAATGTCAAACACTGTATTGACAAGATAGTGTTTGAAAAACATGAAGTGTGGCATGCTGAAAAGCTTGGTTCTTTCTATTCTTGATGTACATTATTCAAGTAAAAGAATGTCATCAAGAGAAAATAGGACACACAATGGTATGCCAAACCTGACTGCAATTGTTAAGATGAGTTGCCATGTATATACATATGAGAGTAACTGTCATTCTTTTTCATCATTAGCCGCATATGTATGAAAATGGCATGCTTTAAAGGCTGCAACCTCAAAGTTGAACAAAGAGTTCACTTGGTTGTTTGTACTTTGGTCAGTTCATGTGAAAATCCCACTACCCAAAAGATGAACAAAGAGTTCACTTGCTTTCCATGAACTTTGGTTGGTGAGTTCATGTGAATACCACTACCTAAAAGATGAACTCACCATACTTCCATGCAATTTGGTGAGTTGAATACCACCCACCAAAGTTCAAAAAACGATGAGCAAAGAGTTCACTTGGTTTTTTGTACTTTGGTGAGTTCATGTACAAAACCACTACCCACAACATGAACAAAGAGTTCACTTCCATGAACTTTGTTTGGTGAGTTCATGTGAATACCACTAAAGATGAACAAAGAGTTTACTTCAAACTTTGGTGAGTTCATGTGAATACCAATACCATACCACCTTCTAAAAGATGAACAAAGAGTTTACTTCCATGAACTTTGGTGAGTTCATATGAAGACCACTACCTAAAAGATGAACACAAAGTTCACTTGATTGAACTTTGGTGAGTTCATGTGAATATCACCTGCTTGCATATTTGTTATGTTTGACTCATTACCTTTTAATATCTTGACTGAATTCTTGTGAATATCAGAGAATTGATAGAGATGCACACCACCTACCTAACTAAACAATCTGCCCACCAAACCAAGGAACTGAAAATGAGTGATCTCTCAATATTTCCCTGGGGTTTGGGTATTTGGGTCTCCACAACCAAATACCTACCATGTTTGCTACAAATCGCTGGGGACCACTGAAACTACCAAATGTAGTTTCCAAATATGCTTGGATGTAAATTATGTCTCATCATAACCACGTGAACACACAATGGCATGCAAAATGTGACTCCAATGTTTACTGTCTCCTTATCCTTATCTGAGAATCATCACAGTGATGTTGTGGTTGGATGAGAGCGCACTGTGATGCGATGACTCTCATCAAAGCCAGTTACAAACCCATTCCTTTCACGTTCAGACATAAAAAATTACACACAAGTAAGTCTTCATCAAAGGAGGTGTGCTCTCTACCTCATTTGGGCAGGGATGATTGGGTCCACATACATCATCAATCCCAACCAGCATCATGGTGGGTGAAAGGAATTCAACTGGGTGTGTGGACAAACGGGAGCCAAACCAAATGTGAAGGGATATGGGTCACCTATGGTAATGGCAATCATCAGTCAGACTTCCATTCTTGATACATTATTTCAGTCTGAGAGGCTCTTGGTTGGAACTTGTTTATCAAGGTTTCACAAGATTCCAAGAAGGAGTCTGGTGTTTTCTCTTAAACACATAAACAGTGTTCAAGAGCAAACACAAGACTCGGCCAGCAAAATGGTCTCCCCAGACAATTTGTCATTTTGATGATTGATTGCAGCTTCAGTCAGGTTGGCCTGGTGGATGCCACTCCTTTGGCTTTGGTGACAAATGATTGATGGATGCCACTCCTTTGGCTTTGGTGACAAATGATTGATCTTGGACATCATTTTGTCAAACATCAATGCCTGATGCTTTGTCAATTTATTTCAAAGCTTCTCATTGGCATTGATGTTTGTATATTTGTGATGGAAGCCTTATGTTAATTGTCCCCTCACACAGAGGAGACAACCATGTGTTGTCCCCTCTGTGTGAGGGGACCAAAAAGAGGGGACACAAGCACCCAATGATCCATTGGTGGATCATTTGGTTATTTGCAAACTTGGTCTAGCCATGTTTCCGTCATCCGCCATAACCCCGGGAGCCCTGGGGATTCCAAGTGGCCATAGTCTACACTGCGGGAAATTCGCTGGCGTGAGCCCGGCTCGCGCCACCGTGACGTGAGCCACGGGTTGGCCCCGGTCTGAAGCCAACCAGAATTTATACCGACGCCTGACGTCAGCCATTGGTCGGTTGAGGACAGCCTTGACGACTGCCACTCATTCGTTCGCATCCACTTTTTGATCTTTATCTTCATCACTTCCTATGCCACCCAGCAAACTTGGCTCCTGGACCTCATTGTATTTTTCCAACAATCAAAACCACTCAGTTTCACCAATCCGAACCGTGAATTAAATTCTCAAGAGATCTCACAAGCTCCTCAACCACATTGATTTTTCAAAACTCAATGCCTAAATCTAAAAATCTGAATCCGAGTCATGGGTCATCCTCAAGAAATGTCACAAGCTCTTGTCCTGAACCACATTCATCTCAACTTGATTCAATGCCTAGAAAACTACCTCGGAATTGCGAATCAAATCCTCAGGCAATTCCGCAACCTACTCAACCACATCCATTTTTTCGACATACAATGCCTGCAATCAAATTCACTGACCGGAGCATGGGATTGATTTCAGATGGTTTAAATGTCTCACAACCATCTGATTCTCATCAACTTATCCAAAACTTACCATCAGCACCATTACCATTACCTAAATTCTCTGACTCAAGCTTAGAAGATTTCTTTCACCCTAGGCTTAAATCAACACTTGGTAAATCTGCTCAAGTTGAAAAAGATCAAGAAGAAGAAATCAATGGATTTCTTAATGATGAAGATAGTGTCAATGATCACTTCTATCTAGAAATTTTAACAAAATCTTCCAGAAAACTGGATGAACGATTGAATGAGAATGAATGCAAAGTAATATACATTCTGTAATTTATGTATTTGTTTGATCGAATGTTCACTGCTTGAGGCTCTTTTTTGACTTCATCAATTTTTATCAATGAGCTCATTTGTACGGATGTATTATCTTTTTCTCTCACTTGCAAGATTAATTTGTTTGAGTTTATAGCATACATCTATAAACGATATTTGAGATTACATATATTCAAACTGAAGCTACTGTCAGTAATCTGGCAGTAGGCATCCTCGTGTTGCCTTTTTGATTGACTTCATCATTCTAGCGCGCATCAATGGTGAAATTCAAGTAGGATCATTTCATTCAAATGATTGAGATTGTTTGAAATAGAAACCGATGACTTTGTTCTTCATATCCAGGCATGTTTTGAATCGATTCTGAGATATTTGGGCTGCTTTCATGTTCAGATTGGTTCTAAAAGGATTGTGTTAAATTAAGAGGTACAGCAAGAGACAAATCAGCGATTTGAGATGCATGAATCGATTGATTGACTATTTTTGCTCCGTTCTATTTTGGATATAGCAAACAACCAATTCTCTATAGTATCTCGTTTTTTGTAAATGTAGGATGTGATTGTTTCAAGCTTTCTTTCAAATTATGTAATGGATTTCTCTTTCAATGATGTTTAGGTTTCTGTGAGTTACTATGGATTTTGAAAACAAAGAGATACCAGTGCAGAGACTCCAAAACCATGTTTTGGTATCCAACAGAGAACAATCCAGATCAAGGGCTATGGGGGTGGGATGATCAGCTTGATTGGACGAGCGGAGGATTGGATGAATCTGTAGTCGATGGCGTACGTCAACCAGCTGGATGTCTTCAACGAACCAATGGCTTACGTCAGACGTTGGTGTGAATTTTGGTTGGCTTCAGACCGGGGCCAACCCGTGGCTCACGTCACGGTGGCGCGAGCCAGGCTCACGCCAGCGAATTTCCCGCAGTGCTAGTGGTATGGACTCTTCAGCCAATCAATCAAAGTGTGCATGGGTTCAAATCCCATGCTTGGAGTATTTGCACTGAAAGGAAAACTGGAGCCACTGTTGGCTTGCCTCAGACCACATCAGTTCAATGTCTCCAGAGTGTTATGGATAGCATCTGCATAACTTGAAGTATGCTCCACTTTTGGTTTTTTTACTACATCACCTTGTCTCATTACCTAGGAATGGTGTTTGAGAGTGGCAGTTTGACAGACCTAACTTAACTTGAATGGCAATGCAATTTAATGCAATTTTGACTTGAATAAAATTTTATAGATCTGGATCTTGATAACTTCTTGATTACATTTAAAGTAATCAAAAACTTATAAAATTTGTTTAGTTTTATATCATCTTGCTATTCATACTTGAAGGTAGGTAGGCAAGTGGCAAGTTAGAAATGGGCACCAATTTGATTTGTTAAATGAGTGTAAGGTATGCCAGGGGTGGCAGATGTAATTTGCTACGAACCAAGTTGGAAGAGACAGAAAAACAACAAAGATACACAAAGCACAC